AACTTCTTCCCTCTGAGGGTGACGGAGCACAGGAACAGGTTTTCCAGAGATGTTGTGGAGTCTCCTTCTCTGGAGATACTCAAAACCCACCTGGACGCAGTCCTGTGCATCCTGCTGTAGGCGACCCTGCTTCGGTGGGAGGTTTAGACTAGGTGATGCACAGAGATCCCTTCCAACCCCTACCATTCTGTGATTCTGTGTTGTAACTGTAATGCCAAAGCTTTTATATCATCTTGGATGTACATTTTTGGTTTAGCATGCAGTGCCCACATAGTAAAAGCTAACTAGCCTTGCGCAAGTCAGCTGTGGTCACTGAAGTAGCAGTGGGAAAGTACGAACTCTTTTCTGCAATAGGATTAGTTTGAAGTGCTGATTTCCAGACTTCTCTGAGAACCTTTAAATTACAGTGCAATTGAAGTCACATTTGTGCAGCTGGACTTTGCTGTTGTTTATAAACTGTGAGAGTGTGCTTCTCCATGGCAAGTAAGACGACGATGAGTTACCGTTGCCACTCAGATGAGCAATATATTTTACGGTCATTTCTATACCCAGCAAGACCTCTTATCAAATTCATGCCTTTACCTGACGATGTCAGCTTAGATATTTCTTCTGTGTATCTACCTGTCTGATAAAATTGATGCTCTTCACCTAATGTGTATCTTAAATCACAATGAGTCCTTGAAGTAGGATGGATCGGGGAGGCAGGACAGCTGCTGTCCAAGTTTGATTTTTTTTTTTAAGCTACTTCTTTATACAGCATTCAATCCGATGGGGCATCAGCCGGCATGGCTTCTGCATACTCAAGTACGAGTAGCTGTCGTTGAACTGATGCAGTGCCTCTGTGTCCCAGGGGTGGCTGTATCCCTCTGATGGCGAGATGTGCTGACCCTTAGACTATATGGCTTTACTTCTGTGTCTACCTAGCTGCTGCATAAGTAGAAGAGGTGGTTAATGTATGGACCAAATGAAGGGGAAAGAAAAAAAAGGTGCTAACAAATAACCTTTGTGCTTTTAGACAGCATTTGATTAGTTGACTAAAATCAGGCATTCGTCAGGTCTCAAATACTTTTGAAAAGGAAAGTGATATACGTCAAACACCTCAGTTGTATGAATATGGAGGGCTTTGTATGGTTTGTTTTGCTCTGCAAAAAATGAACTCAGTATTTTTTTGTTTTTCTGTAGCATATTACATCAGACAGCTACATTCCATGCCTTGCTGATCTCTGCAAAGCCCTCTGGGAAGTCATGCTCAGTTACTACCGAACCATGCAGTGGCATGAGAATCATGACCAAGATGAATCAACTGCTGTGTCTTCCGGTAAGAGATTGTTCTGGAAGCAAAACTTCTGATATTCGGAAATAACTTTTCTTATGCTCAAGTTGTTAATTTGTGTGTCAGTACTTTTGCGGTCTTGACTCAGTGCCTTCAGCATTATTACATATAGTGTGCCGAAAAGACTTAAATACTCACTGGATTTTTGCAGTCTTCAGTGTAAGGTTAATTTTTTAATGAATACATGTATATGCTGTTATTACAGATATAAACAGTTCTATTTTAAGCAGTGCTTATTATGGAGTTGGAAGTCAGCTATGGTAGATGACTACAGAATTGGAGTTTTTTACTTTTAATAAAGGACCAATGTGAAATTTCAGGTTTTTTGATCCAAATTGAAATTTTCACTGCATATTAAGCTTAGTACATTGTGTACTAGGAAAGGTGACTGAAACAATAGGGAATGAATCTGTTGTAAATCTGTCGTGATTTTCAGGAAATTCAGTTTCCTGAATGTTGTATGTTGCCTGTATTAGTGGATGGAGATATGGTCGCAATTTCCTGGATACTCTTTACAGGAAGAGGCAAGCATTTAACCTTCAAGTATAATTTTGGCTTTCTTTTCATGTTGTTCCAGTGTGTGCTTTTTAGGACACAAGGACAAAACCTTCTAAGTACACAAGTCCTTCTAAGTACATTTTACTGGAGCTATTCTAAGTTAATATAAAATTTCTAGAGGTAGACTTTATTTCCCCACTAACCCAAGATGCTTGTGTTTGGCACAGGGCAGAGTGTGAAATTTACAGCATTGAGATTTGTGCAAAACTTCTCTATTTATTTGAATCAGATAGGGTTGCTCTTTTCTTACTGAAAAGGAGGCTCCTGTCAAAGGATAAGGACTGTAGGATTGCTGCTAAAGTTATTTCTCCTTGCCTGATTTGCACAAAATTTGTATCCTTTATGTTAGACAGTAATAAGAAAGGGGAAAAAAAATTGGAAATAGAAGTAAAGAACAAATCTTGGAACAGTGTGTTTCCTACAACATATTTGAAATAAAAAATTTCTTTCAAAAGTGAGATTTATTATGGATTTTAAGGCTTAAAAAGAACGAAATTTATGCCAATTTGTACTGTCTTTCTATTTTAAATTTGAAAAATAAATGAAAATATTTTCTTTGGAGTGTCCTTCCCGTATTGTGTGGTATCTTAAAAAAAAAAAAAGTGGATTTGTTGAAACTGTTATTTGAAATGAAAGTTTTTATATCAGAATTAAAATTCAGAGTTAAAATATTTAATTTTGAGGTGAACCATATGAACAAAGATTCTGAAGTTTTGAGTGAATTGCTCATTCTCAATAGTATTTACTTTTATAATAATTTCCGATAATTACATTTCCTTCTCTTGTTTTCATTTTTTTTTTGTGATCTTTGCACACGTGAAATAAAGCAAGTATCATAAATAGTTTGTTGCATGGAGATGTTACCACAGTAGACTACTTGTTCATCTCCAGATGTAATTTTAAAAATAGTTCCACTTAGTGTAGTTACTTGTGATATCCTGAAGAAAGAAAATCATTTGCACTGCAAAACCTTTTAAAGGAACCATTAAGCCTAAGAAAGTGGTATATTCAGTCACATGAGTAATTTTAAATGCATTGCTTTTTAAATGTGTGCCAGAGTGTTTTGGTATGTTTACTACTAATCCACTAAATCTTCTGTCACTAATTTTTTAAGTTTCTGGAGATGCTGTGGCTTAGCTGTAATGTACAGCTAGAATATATTTGAGTTACTGAATCACTTTTTCAAATACCTCAGCAGTGATAAAGGACACGAAAGGGAATTTCACAAGCATAATTTAATTTCAGAGGGACTATAAATATCTACCAAATGTCTGTTTTTTTCTGTAAGTCCTTGCTCATGCTGTAGTAACTATTAAGCCTGTACATGGAAGTCTTATTCCATATTTATTGATTTAAAAGCTGTGGTGTGTGCTAAAGCCAAAGAGTAAAATTCCTGTAGAAGGGTGTATGTGTCTGGAGGAACCATGGAGGCAGTTTGGGAGATTATGCTAAAATTGTTCCTTCAATTAAACCCCATAGACCTCAGCAATAGAAGGAGCAGTCTTAACTGTTGTATGTGTATCTGGCTTTTATCATTTTGAGAACTCAAAACTGTCCCAGTATTTTTCTCCCATTGTGCCAGTTACAAAGTACCTTGAATGGGTCAAGGGACTCTTGATCTTGGGACACTAACCCAGCTGTAGAAGTGAGAAGCTGGACTTAGAAGACTTGAATTATGTAGCTCTTTCTGTTTTAATTGTGAGGCGTATCCAAAAGAAGTCCTGCATGGAATAGGGAAAGGACGTTGCACTTCATCTAGATTGTGTGTCACATATTTGTGATTATTAATGCCCGTTACAGATGGTAAAATGTACTTTGCATAACTTTTAAATCACTGCTCTTCTGCATTTCTGAGGAAAGAAGTGTGTCTGCTTTATATTGTTAAATATTCTGCTTATTTGTGTTCTTAAAATTAGTCTAGTCTGAGACTGAAGAGTGAAATGGAGTAGAAAAAACTTCCACAACATGATTTTTTTTTTTTGTTTGGTATGTTTCTAGGAGAGGCTTTTTGAGACTGAGGCTTCCCCCACCCCACCCTAGAAATGAGTTCAGAAATTGCAGTCATTCTTGCAGTTACAGTGTGGACTGGTGTTTGGGGATTACTTTTTTTTAAGATCCATTAAAAAAAACTCTTACTTGGGATAAACTAAATACAACCAGATAATTGGATATAAGTTCAATCCTAAAAATTTTTAAAGCATGAGACATATTTTAGTACCTTTCATGAAACAGGAAATACTGGTGAGATTTATTTTGCTGAAGTGTTACAACAGAGTAGCAGTAAATCGTAGTGAAATGTATGATATTGATAGTTCTATGAGTCATCAGTAATAACAGTTAACTAATTGCTCTAATATACAGTTGGAAAGATAGAATTAAGTGTTCATATGTAGGACTTGTTTAATCATACTGAAGAAAAAATTAGTGGACTGAAAGTGTGAACTCCATAGCATGAAATGACTTCTGTGTCACATTTAATGAACTGATACTTTGTGATTTTGTTGTTTGTATAGTAAATGGCAAATTGTGTTGATAGGGCTTTTCATCCTTGAAAATAAACTGCTTACTGGACAATTTCTCATTTCACTGTTGGTCATGGTCAAAGCACAGTTTGTGTCTGTAGTATAGAATCAAAGAAAAAATGAGTTTTAAAGGGACTTGTGCAGGTCATATTGTCTTCCCTGCTCAAAGCAAAGTGAACTTCAAAGTCGCATTGGTTTGTGCGAGGCCCTTTCTGCTTCAGCTGGATTTTCACATACCATAAAATTTACTGCGATGCTGATGTAGTTCGCATGTATTCCTGAGACACTAATTTAATAGAAGAACTGAAACTGAGCAGTAAAATGATCAGTACAGCATTTAAACTCCTAATTTCAGAAGTGTAATCCTGGTTGTAAAAGTTGGTAATGACTGTAATAGCTGTAATAGATTCAATGAAAAGCATGAAGAAAATGATGTGAGAAGTAAATATAATTTAAACCATTTTAATTTTCAAAACATTCCATTTATAATACTGCATAAATTCTGTGCAAGACCAGCTTGGTATTGCAAGAATGAAACTAAAATACAGTTTGATTTTTTTTTTTTTTTTTTCCTCTGCCCAGAAAGCCTTAAACAAAAACCTTTTGTTATGACTGAAGGCTGCCTTTATGAATTTTGGACAAATACTGAGAAACCTGAAAAATTACTGTATTTGAATTAGGCATCTAGAAGAATAACTGCGGGATGCTTCTGATTCTTATTTTTGTGTAAAATTAGGAGTATTTGTATATTCTGCTACCTGTTCCAAATTCTTCAAAGCAAAATGTGTAATGCTTGTAGACCTTTGTCCAGTCCTTGATTTTCAAGGAATTTATCCTAAATTCATATGTTTGCATATGTGAAAGTAGTTGCAGTACAGTTCATTAAAAGACTGGCAACAAGACCTCTTAGCATGACTGGCTGTAAACTAAGAGCACCGGGAGGTTCTTTACTGAAAGAGGCACTGGGACAGGCTGCCCAGGAAAGTGATGGATTCACGATCCCTGGAGGTGTTCAAAAAACGTGTAGACGTGGCACTCCAGGACATGGTTTAGCAGGCATGGTGGTGATGGGTTGACGGTTGGAATTGATGATCTTAGAGGTCTTTTCGAACCTTAGTGATTCTGTGATTGCAAGAGACAACATTGCATGGATTTTTATGGAGCGATAACACCATATGACTCTGTCCAACCATTCCTTCATAAATGGCAGTCTGTGAGGACAAGGACTATGGTCTTAAACTTGAGAACAGGTCAAAGATACTGACTCATTTAGGCTTGGCTTCACTGTACAGAAATATGGAAGACAGGAGTTTGCAGAAGCTTCTAAAGAGCGTGCTGTGACTAAGATAGCTGGTTTTGTTTACTCATATAGTCAGAGAAAGGATAAATCTGCTTAGTGTTTCTCTAGTTGGATTATTCTTTCTGTTTATATTTTGTTTAATCTTCCATGATAAATAACTTTTGAAAATGCATTTGTCAGAATTATTGCTTTCAGGAGACAAGAAGCATATTTAGGTACAGTTACTAAATTAGAATTCACCTATACAGTGGCTAATACTTGTTTTATGATTTTTCTTTCATAAGGAAAATTTTCTTTCGTTGTGCCCTGCAACAATGGATATAGCATGGAATTATGTTTGAGTCTTATTTTCACATCAAGCAGACTTTTATCTTCTTGTTCTGAGTAATTAGCGTAAATTCTCAGTCTGCCTGCAAAAGCAGTCTCAATGACTTTAAACAGGAAAGAGTTGACCACAGCTTTGCAGCCTTGGAAGAAATGATTATCTATCCGTAATATAAGCCTGAATTCCAGAATTTATTGTATTATGTTTGTAATTGTGAGGAAGAGTTACTCAATTGAAAGTACCAGAGTTTTTACATTCTGGTTGCATATAATACTGTACTGGTTCTGTATTCTTGAGGTCTGGCCTCATGGGCAGACCAATTTTAATGTAACTGGCTTGAAGACTCTTCTTGGTGGTGTTCATAAGTTCATTATCATAATCCCTAGCTTGCAGATGAAGCTCCCTCAGTGTTTGATAAAGATCATAATTTAATAATGAGTTCAGACACACCAAATAGCTCCACTTGAAAGAAATTAAGCGAGGTCAGCATCCTTCTCAGTAACCATATTCCCCACATTTGCTTAATTTAAATGGAGCTACAGATGTTGAAGGTTTCATATTTTTGTTGTTCCTATTATGCTTATATATTATATAAGCATTCATGTAATAGGTAATATATTCTATATATATTTGGAATAAACTTTGGGGTTTTTTTTATCTCCGTGGGAAATGCAAATAGTTATTGCTCTGAGAAACATACTGTGAAAAAGTTCAAAGCAGAAAATGCATGGTTGACGGGGAGAAGGAAGATGTTTATCATGCTCTTCCACTTACAGAGAGTCTGGCCTAGGACTGGGAGTACGAGACACTAAGTAGGATTAGGGAGTGTTACAGAGGGGAGCTCTACTTACTTGACAGTGAGCACCGGATGATCTGAAGAAAATATGGTCAGAACAAGGTCAGACTCTGCTGTGCTCTTTTGTATTTTGATTTAATTGAATTGTCAGTATCTGATACCAGTCATAACTGTTCTTGTTCAGTGGATGACTCTTTCCTTCCACCTTTTAAATATGCAGTCAGCCAGACAATGCTGGGGAGGTCTGTTCTGCACACATGTGAAAAGGTTGATTAAAATCTTGTATCCGGCCTCTCATTCCTTACTGGGCTGGATCGTAAGATGCTCTTGGTATTTACACAATATTCATCTAGGGTGCATGGTCTGGATTCAGGGCAAGACATGGACAGATCACTTTTGTTGGTGACAAAAAATGTCTTAGCGCTGGGAAGTGGAGGGCAGATGTAGGTTCTTTATGGTTCTGGACTTTTCTTAAGTGGAGAGCAAAATTAGACATGAAAAACTGATACTCTTTCTGAGGATGTTAAAATTAAGCCAGGAGGCTTCCTGGAAAAAACTGTGAAGCCTAGTGATTAAGAACTGTGAATGTCAGTCAAGATTAGCACTCGCTGTGGTCCTGGTAGCACGTTACCATCTAAGGAACACTGTTGTGACAGAGATTCAGTATGCAGGTGGTGTTTTTGTCCTTGCTGGTTTTGAGTGATGGCAGAAAACCTGTCCCTGTGTTGATGAGACCAGCTCGTCCATGAAAAGCTGCATCACACTGTTTAACAGCTGAACGTGCTTCCCAGCCTTAGTACTGTCTCCCTGGGTGGAAGCTGTGTGCAATCCCACTGAGTCAGTTTGGTTCATGGCATTGGATTGCTTCTTTTTTTTTTCATTTCCCAAATAATGTGATCCACAAGTTAGGGCTGGCCAAGACACTACTGCCAGTTGATGGGGGGCTGTTAAGTGTTCTACTCTTTCCTTTACCTTCCCGTTTGCATTGTGGCAGTGATGTATCTACTTGGTCATGAAGTTCAACAGGTTAAAAAAAGAGTCCATCTTTCAAGAATGTAATTTAAGTCAAGGACACTAGACATGTCTGTTAGACTTGTCCTGTTGCTCTCCAGGTAGACCCAAATTATAAATACAGATGGTCTTTTCCACTGTATCATGGGAAATTTGTTTTTTTCCCCATTCCCTCTCCGGGTTCCTGTAGGATCTGTTCCTGTGAAGCCTCGGCAGCAGGGATGAAATGGCCTGATGCGCCTGCAAAGTGATAGCTTGGGGCTGGGTGGAGGCTTTGAGAGGAAATGCTGGAATCAGGGAAAGAAATGGCTTTGAGCTGGGAGCCTGTGTGTGGAGGTAGAGCAATGAGACCAGCTGGACCAGGAACAAGGGAGTGAAGTCCTCTCAGGTACTGAAAACTAGCTGGAGGTTGCAGAAAAGCTGGAAAGTCAGGTCTGAGCTGCAGAGCGATGCTGGGGTGCTACAGGCAATTTTCATTATTCTGTGTTTGCAACCTCTTGAACGATGAGGTAGAAGGAGGACTGTATGCTTCATAATATTCCACTGTAATATTTTATGTGAATTTTTATCTTTCATGTCAAATCACTAAATGGTTTGGGCTTTAAAGGACATGCATAGCTTTTCTGCTTGTCAGGAACAGCAGATTTTTCTTATCATGGGGAAAGTTTGTATGTATAGTCTGGCTGACACAGAGCTTTCCTGTGGTCAGTCATAGGCCGTGAAGCAGCCATGAAGCAAACTGCGTGACACTGTGCCATCACAGAGTGCAAGTGTAACCACAACTGTATGCTCACAAACTACGTATAAAATATTACCTTCTCTTTTTTAAAATGGAAATAAAATCTGTTTCCTCCTTGGGGACATAGAGGACCACATAGAGGAGAAGTTTACCATGCATTACAGTGCTTTTTTGAAAAGTGATCCAGTGCCGTTGAAGGTTTTAGAATCAAATAAAATAATTTAGAAGAATGAAAGACACCTGATTATATGATTGACATTATTTCATGCATAAGCATAGATTAGTATGAGAGAGGGGAAAAAAAGAAAAGAGCATGCTATATTGTCTGCATAATTAATGGAAGAAGTTTCAATATTTTTCCTCCTAGTTGCAGACAGAACTTATTGGGGCAGAAAGTCAAAAATCTTGCTTCTGAAATTAAGTTCATGATTCTTGTCTACAAAGGTAGACTATGTTAGAGAATCTTGTCGTAGAGTGCTCACTGCAGCATTCAGCTTAATCTTTTGTATTTGATACATCAGTATCTGTCAACTCTCATGTTTTTTTTTATCTTTTATTGAATAGGGCAGCTCTCCTGGTCTGCACTAGCAGATAATATTTGTGTGTGCTTTATTCATTTCCTTTCAAAAGTTTAGAGCATTGGAGCTCTTCTGGAGTTTGCATAATGGGTAATATGATAAAGGCTGAGGCAGAAGTTTCATTATGGGTAGAAAACTAGGATACATTTCAGGGCTTTTGGAAAAACCTACAATACTTTCCACCTTCAGTTTCAGATGGCAGCAATGTGATTGGAACTGAAGAGAGCAGTTTTGACCGCAGTTATGTAAAAAAGAAATTGGAACATGGGCTTTCACGAATATGGCAGGTAAGTTTTTTTTATTTTTTCCTGTAACACAAACACCCTTGCCTCTATGGCTTTTGATTCTGGTATCAATAATTCAATTTCTTTTTTTTTTTTTTTTTAAAGTTATTTGTTTTGAGCTAAATGTGTCAAAACCATGGAAATATAATTTCCGTGACTCAGTTACTACTTGGTCGCTGTGCTTACAAACGCAGTCGAGATACCAAAACACAGTAACATGCCTTTCAGCCTGATTTCACTTCTCCCAGCCTGCGTGCTGCCACCCAGTCTGTTTTCTTCTCATGTGCTTTTCTCTGTTAGCACAGTCATACTGCTTTGTTTCTGGTATAACCATAGTTATGGAGAACCTGAAGTCTTGTGAACCTGCCTGGTTTCACAGTATGCGTGGTCTGACTGCTGGATCAATTTGATGTGCAGTGAGACCTGAAATACATGATGAAAAAGCTGTAAACCCTTTTCATGGCTGAATTGTAATCCAGAGCTCTGTTTTTGCGGTGACAATAAAGCACCTAGGATTAGCCTTGTGTTACAGAGTGTTAAAGAAACTGATTATATTATTATTTTAGAAAGTCAGTGAGAAATCATTCATGTTACATAAAATGGAGTTCTACTCTAATTCTTAGAAAGAAGTTAGAAGTGCAGACAAACCAAAAAGTGCTAATGAGCCAGGCAGCTGAGCCTTCACCTTTTTTGCTTTTAGTGTGTTAAGTATATGAAAACTTGTTTCTGTTTTGTAGGATGTTCAACTGAAGGTGAAAACCTATCTTCTGGGAACAGATCTGTCTAACTTCAAATATGACGACTTCATATTTGTACTTGATGTTATCAGCAGGTATACTGATGTGGTCGTTAGACCACTTAATACATGCACAGAAACTTGAACTCTGATAAGACAGCACAGTTAATTAAGGCTGATATTTACGTTCTGATGCCAACTTTGTTCATATCTACTCATAGTTTGAAGAGCACTTCTTTATATGGGAGTTTGTGAAGATGTACTTGGGAGAGGTAGCATAAATTGTTTTGCTGCTCGAGTAGTTGTTAAGTGCGATATGATTTCGGTATTGTCCACCTTTAAGATTTCAGATGTGCAGATCTGGCAATTTTCATGTTTGTAAAAGCATTTAAAGTGACTTTCAGTCAAGAGCAGTAAAATACTGTGGTACTGCTAACCTGTACAGTATTAGATCCTGATGGTTTGGTAATAAAATGACAGATTCAGACTGTGAGCTGTGCAGCTTGCCTTGCATAATAGGATCTCAAAAAGACATTTATTTTGGTTATGGCTCTCTGTGTGTTTGGGACATTATAATAGGATTTGGAGGGGAATGAGACATGGATTTCTGTGGAATGAGTGAAGTGTTTGCAACTCAACACTATTGCTCTGCTTTTATGGAGATACATGTATGCTCATGATAATGATTGAGGCTTGTAATTCAGGTTGGAACGGCAGTATTAATAAATAAATATTTCTAAAACTTTGTTGTATTGTTATAGGCTGATGCAAGTTGGGGAAGAATTTTGTGGCAGTAAGTCTGAAGTTTTGCAAGAATCTATCAGAAAACAAAGCGTTAACTATTTCAAAACATACCACAGGTGAGACTACTATATGTGCAGTAGATGAATTTAATGACATTTATTTTTGTTGGACTTAACTTTAAATGCTTTCCAAAGGAATTCCACTGTGTAATGTTCTGCATTGGGGTTGACAGATAGTGGTTTATGTTTCATGGTGAGAATAGGGCTATGAACCCTGGAGAAGGGGAGAGGGAGGAGAAGCCTTCGCTTCTGCTGTGGCTGTGGAAAACTAGTTCTGCAGCAGGCAAGCCAGATAAAGATGAAGAACTTTTTGTGTAGAATTTCAGTAGTTTTTCAGGCTGCCTCTTAAGCTGTCTCCTGGGATGAATGCCTCTGAAGTCCATACTTCCTAGAAAAATTGTTACCTCTTTTTCTATGCCATTACTTAAAAAGAGCTGATCATGTGTGGCTATGAAAGATTTTTTTCAATATGCAATTTTGTCTTGTATCAAATGAGATGTTTAGAACTCAGTCCATCCTTTTGAGTTGTGTTTTCATCATTTTTTGGTTGGCAGTATCTAATTATGTTTCAGTCAACTCTGCTGTCATATCTGAGGCCGGCCATATGTGCTGTCACGTCTCTGGCCTCAGATATGATATGTGGCTGCGGCAACATCAAGACTTGTCTGTCTGTTTGTTTTAGTTGTCTCGATTTCCCAATTATTTTGGTTTGGGTGATTAACAACTCTTTCATTCTAGTTGTCTAGTGTTTATCTTCTTTCTGAGTGTAAAAAGGTAGGAAGATAATGAGAAGAAAGACGACATTCCTTGCTCTAAGAAACCCTTACTTTCCCAGTCTTGATCTGTTGTCCTCTGTTGTATGTGGGCTGTCATACTACTAATACATCCAAATCCATTTGGTGTGAGACTTTCTGCCTAAAATCCATAAAGTATGAACATTATGACAGCAGAATGTGAGACAGTGTCTAAATTCAGAAGCTGAGAACGTGGTTTGGAATTTCTTCCAGCTTTGGTCATTTGTAGCTAGGATTTCTTTCCAGACATTTGATGAAGACCTCAGTTCCAGTTATAAGAAAAGCTTGAACCTTAATCAGATGCACATTATGTCTTGTCAGGAAATAAGTTCAGATGCCATGCCACCTATCTCTGTGTCTTGAAAGCAGTTCTGAACCCCAGACAATTTTTGTGAACTGATTTGGAAACAGAGCTTGCAGCTCTAGGTTCAGAAGAGCTGTTTTGGTCTACCTCATTGTCTTTTACTATACCGACTTACCACATAATACCTAATTTGGTTAAGTAAATATTGTTTTGACCATTACGGTTTTGTTTGTTTGAAGGACCTATTTAACAGCTTACAGAATCGGAGATTAATTTTCTTAATTATCTTTAAATAAAATAAAAGTTAAGGGACAGTGATGGAATATGTATAGAAATAATAATTTTTTGAAATAACTTGTGGTTTTTAGGAAGGTGAAGTTTCTGGTAGTTCTCATGAAAATAAAAGGAAATATCTACTGATATGACTCAAATTATGTGAACCTTTTAATTCTTTTTATATGTTTTATGCTGTGTGGGTATTGTGAAGATTAATGGCTGATGTTTTCGTCCTCGGAAGGAAAAATATAAAAAAGCCTCTCTCCCAGCTGTATCCTTCAGGTTGATTTATATAAAAACGCTAAGCATCTTGCCTTTTCAGATGAAGCTAATGTGGCTTTCACTCCACTTGTGTATTTAATTGGAGGGGAAAAAAAAAAAAGCTAGTGCTTTTAAGGATTCATTAGTATATAAAAGCTACATAGAGCTGAAATGCTCAGTGTCCAGGAGTAATCAGTTCTTTGATTGTTTAATTTGACATATGTGGCCTCCAGGGCAGCGTGGTGTTGTAGAGAACTGCCAACATAGAGGAAACATGCAGGGGAACTGGTCAAGTCATTCAAAAAGCATAGAAGAGCAATGTAATACTAGAGCATACGTGAAGCCTTTTTTGGGTAAAAGTTGATTATTTTGAAAAATTAGGATGGGTTTTTGGCAAAGAACATCAGCAAGTTGATTTTTAGAATGCAATTTATTTTTTGTTCTGATATGTTTGTAAAAAGGTGTGCCTGATCACGAAAGTGTTTCAGAGAACGAATGCATCAGACCTTCCATGTGTGCCACTTTCTAGACTTGTGTGCTGATGGAACTGAAGAGCATTTGTTCAAGTACTTTGTCAGTGCCTTGATTTCTGCTTTGAAATGATACAAAAACTGATGCTGTGTGGCTTTTAAATGTTAGCTTTTCTGTGAGTCTTCCTTCCTCTCAAAGAATTTTAATCTGGAATGCTGGTTTTCACAGCATCTCTATGTTCCTGTTGGCTTTACTGCAAGAAGATCTGCAAGCTACTCAGTGCCTTGAAAATAGCACTTGAAGTCTGTTTGCATTTAACTGTGGATTTAAATAGACATAGCAAACTGTAGTCATAATTCAGCAAGTTGCTCATCTCATTGAGGCAAGAAAATTTTAACTGTAGTGGTGATTATAATTCATTATTGAAACAGTGGTATTTCTAGAATATTTTACTGCCTGATTAGAAACCCAGTGCATAATTTACCAACTGCTACTTGCTAAGCAAAGCAATATACTGTATATTAAGAAGAAAATATACAGCAATGTGACCTCAGTAAGCACTCATTGCTGTCTTTTCCTATATGAGTTCCTGCTTATGTGGCAAAAAGATTTTTTTTTAATTAAAGAATTTCTGCTTATTGCTGAATGGAGGCTTTTCTAACGATGAAAAACTTAACAGAAACAATGCAGAGGTGTAATGGCTTAATCGCATTTCCCTAATATGTTTTCTGTATTAGTACCAAAGTAAAGTTAAGCCATGAAGAAAAATACAGCTTAGGAGATAAATAGCCGTTTAATAACTTTTTTCATCTCTGAAGATTTGAGAAGTCTGTAGAACATCAGTTCTTTCTGCTTCCTTTTGCTACCTGTTGGCTTCAGTGTGTTGGAAAGAAGCATCTGTCTTGTGTGGGCTCACAGAAGCTGTTGTACTGCTAATAGAGTGTTTGTATGTATTATCACAGAATCACACAGAATGGTAGGGGTTGGAAGGGACCTCTGTGGGTCATCTAGTCCAACCCCCCTGCCGAAGCAGGGTCACCTATAG